TCCAATAATATCATATAGGCCTACATTAATGTGAAATGTGGCCTTGTGACTTTTACTTTAACAGTATTTTGATGTTGTGGTATTTCTACTTATACTTAAATAAGCAATCTTAGTACTTTTCTCACCACTGAACCTGTCTAACAAATGAAAACAGATCCCCTGTGTCTTCTACAGTCATTTTACTTGGTTACTTCATTCATCTTTTGGCTATTGTTCAAAATGACCTCAACCTTTACCAGCTGTAACATTAATGTGCACAATCAATAATTATAATCCAATAATATCATATAGGCCTACATTAATGTGAAATGTGGCCTTGTGACTTTTACTTTAACAGTATTTTGATGTTGTGGTATTTCTACTTATACTTAAATAAGCAATCTTAGTACTTTTCTCACCACTGAACCTGTCTAACAAATGAAAACAGATCCCCTGTGTCTTCTGTATCTACAGTCATTTTACTTCTTGGTTACTTCATCCGTCTTTTGGCTATTGTTCGTTAATGTTTGTGCTTCCTTTTTTGTTCCCCTGTGCACGATTTTCAACCCTGAGACAGAAGGAAATGTTACTCTATCTTGGGTATGAGACATCAGATGTTGTGGTTTTTAGCTAGAAGAAGGGGCATGTGTTTCCCCTGTCTGTCTAGTCTTACTTTTACAGTAAGGCTGCCTGCTCACTATTAGTGGGTGTCTGTATGTAATTAGCATCATAAAGGGTCAGAGAGACCTCTCCTCCCAGCTTCCCAGTGTGACAACACCTCTCCAGCAGCCAGACCACTTCTGGATTTTTTTTTTTCTTCTGGTTCTCATCTTTCTCCAGGTGTTTTTGATACAGGCTGTCTCAGTGCTCTGTTGTAGTCCGAGTGTTTTGACTGATGTATCTGGATGGCTTGTCTTGCTGATTCATTCAGTTTTTTTGTAGCAATGCTGAGTGGGGGAGGAATGGACAGACACACTTGTAAAAGTCTGTGCAGTTAGTACTTGCGCTGTACAATTAAGCAGTTTGTTTTAGACCACTTTAAAAGCTCTCTTATGCGCTGAGTGTATTTACCGTTATATGGTCTGTTACGGTGACTAAAGTGGATTGCTAACATCATTCTGTCTTTGCTTGCAACCCTATGACTCCTGGCTCCAGTGGGTCACAAAAATAGTGTTTTACAAGAGGAAATGGCAGAAACGTCACAATGTGAGGCAGGCACAGTAGAAGCAGGCTACTTCTGGGAATCTACTTACCTATAGAAAACTGGACAGATGGATATGACGTAATCACAGAGAAAACCTCAGTAATTTAAAGTGCTGGTCATTTTATCCACACATTTAATACATTTTCCTCATACATCATCTATATAATGTAAACTTAGTCTATTAAATAGACACAAATAGGAAAACATGACAACAAGTTTGCAGATGAAAATGGATCTCTTAAACAGTATATACTGCACTTGCCAAATAAGAGAAGAAGACACTATAATCTGTATTCATTTGGCTAATCCATTCACTGCCTCTAGTTGGATTCCATACACGAGTATCTGCTTATATGCAGTTTTCTTATTAAAGCAATTTCAAAATAAATCACTTATATTTGGCTGTTTTCAATTTGTCATTTCTTTGCAGCCATGTTTCTTTTATTCATTATATTTGAGAAACTCTTTTCAGATATGCTTGAAATAGCTTCTTTGTTTTGTGTCAAGTGATACAACAACACAGTCACTGTCTCAGATGACACAGATCACACAGCTCCTCTCATTCACTGATTTCACTTCAGACAAAGAGGCTGAGACAGACATACAGCAGACAGATATATCATTCTGATGGTGTTAGCGCAGAGACTTGTGAGCTGAGTGCCTCAGCATGATTCACTGCTGCTGATTGTTGACAGTTTATGTCATGGTTTTCCCCTAATTCAACTTCCTGCTTTTTTCCATTTCATTGACCTACTGGAATAACACCTACAGTCGGCAACTCTGTACTTTCCATTAGTTTTTTTAAACATTTCCCCTGCCAGCATTGATATTTACTGGAAGAGGTTTTGCAAGACTATAAAAGCTCATGTAATTTGGCCAAAATGACTAAAAACAAAGTACCCTGGGAAGTGGTAGTAAATTAATCATGTTTGAAAACAGGATCTTGAAACAAAAGAAGCATTCCAAAATTCAGAGGCATTGCTTGTTGTTTGGCTGCAGCTTAGATATTTGCTAAAAATGTGCTGAGTGGGGTGTAAAAGAGTTGTCGTGGGCAGAACTGGGTAGGAGGGTCGGGCACAAGGAGCTGAAGGGGAAGGAGAGGGGGTGAACGTCAAGGAGCCTGCAAGAGAAAGGGGTGGGTTAAAGGAGCGATTTAATGTTGGGACAGGCACATGGTGGTTGGGGGTTGATGGGAAGAGAAAGAGGAAAGAGGGAGCTTTGGATCTGAGTTCAAACTACAAGCTGTGTTCAGAGAGAGCGGGACTGTGGCTCAGCATGGGAATGAAGATGCTCTGATGTGCTGAGAGACACTCTAAAAGTCTTGACGGATATATTAAACACTCTGGCTGTATGATGAAAATATCCCGTAAGTACACAGTAACTTGTTATCAGAAATAACCTATAGTGTTAGTTGATAAAAGGATTTTGGACAGTAGTCATATTAAGGTCTGTGCTTCAGTGATTCACAATAAGCCAGAAGCAATAAATTTGCTATCTTTAACTACAGCCATATATTTGGTTGTAAATGTTCTGTGAAAGAGTGGAATGTGAACGAGTCTTTAAAAGCAGAGTTCCCATGTGCCGTATCTTTTCCTGCAGCACTTTGTTACATGTCATATCTCAGCAATGAATTACATGACCAGTGTTCTCTATAGTGAATGTTACATACGGTGAGTAGCCCTTGCCATAGATACTTTAGTCATACACAGCTTTTGACATTTTGGTCCATTGTAACACAGCCAAATTGGGTTTCATCTCTTGTGAGACTGCAATTTTATACTGTACACAGTTTTAAAACTGGGGGTTGAGGAGAGCAAACACAAGCTCTCATTTTTTGGCATGATGCCCACTGAGCCTTTTATCCACAAGAGATTTCCTTAGAGAGAGGATGAGAGGACAGAATGTCTTGGTATCATGTTACAGAATGCCAAACAGAGAGGAATTCCCAGCTCATGTTACTTGCTTCCCAGTGGTCCAACTTATGGCTGTGGAACACAAGAAGATTTATCACTGTGTGCTGCAGTTGAATAATAAAGGCCTGATATTATCCACCTGGGAGGGAAACCTAGCTGAACACAAAGCCTTCAGCTGATACAGGTGGGAACAGAGGATGGAGGTTCCTGACAGCGTACACATGTTGACTCAACTGCTGGTTGAGGGGGCAAACAGTAGACTTTTTTGTCATCCAAGGATACAGGGAACTGTTAATATTTGTTCAGTTGGTGGTCAGTCTGAAGACCAAAGTCACTTTTCATTGATTTCTCAGTGACACAGATGTGAAGCAGCACAGGTGAGTCCTGGATCAACATTTTTGGGAAAACGGGTGATAGCAGTATCTTCACTACAAGGCTACAGTCACTATAATTACACAGTATTGTGTGATGAATGGCCGCGGTTCATGTTTCAGCCATAGCGTGACAGGCACAGACAGGGAGCACAACTGAGACCTGACACGGCGGGAGAGTCGTGGGTACAGCTTATATGTGGCTTTTCTATGCTGATGTTGATGTTTACACTCTTGTAGTGATTGGCAGTGGGACATTTATCAGCTATGTGTTTTTTAAAGAACCACTGGAAATGGTAAGAATATCTTCATGTTTCACTTTTCTTACGTTAAATAATTGGTTACCTCATATTGTTATGATTTATAGTTCTCAATATTGTAACTGTAGTGTGACTTATAATAATTGCTTTTGTATATTTTTCTTTAAGATTTGGTTTCTTTTAGGCTGCAATAAAAATTAATTTCCCAATTATTATCTCACTTTCTCCTTGTCAATTAAACAACATCACAAAATATTTTAAAAATGTTCACCACAGTTTCCTAGAGGTCAATCTATAAATACTTTGTTTGTCCAACCAACAGTCCAAAACACAAAGACATTCAGATTATTTTGGCAGAACACTACAAAAATCAAGTATCGTTATTTGGCAATTTTGCTTAAAAATTACTTAAACAGTTAATTAGTTGCTGAATTAGTTACAGATTCATTTCCTTTTGATCAACAAACTGATTAACAGACTAATAGGTTCAGCTTAGCTTCAGTGGTAGAACTTTCTCTAGATAAATTTAGACATTGCTGGAGTGAGAAATTTGGGCGTTTTTTCGTGGCTCTTTCTTTTTTTAATTTTGTTAATTATTATGCATAATTGTCTATCTTTGTGTCTCAGTGAAAAGCAGACAATGTTCTGTAACACTGGTGTGTCAGACAGCATGTCTCACAGAGGTGGTAAATGGCACCCAGCTCTGTTAGCATTAGTAGAGAGGTGCCAATGGTCTGTTTCCTCTTCTTGTCATCAGCTGAGCTCGCTGTAGGTCAGCACAGATCAGATTTGTCACCCTGACTGCTGGGGGTTGGTTGTTGTGTTTGCTTGGACAACATCAACGAGTCATAGAAATCTCAGATTAAAAATAATTTACCCAATCTACAGTTTTGTATCAGTTTTTTGAAATTTTGTTGTCATCTTAAAATGTGTTACTTGTGGTAAATGTGGTTAATGATGGTATCTCTGGTTTCAAGCATTGTATAGTGGTTCTCACTTATTTTGGCTTTTTAAAAAGTGTTTGTTTTGTTGTTATCTGTTGTTGTTTAAGTTAGAAAATAGCAGATCCAGTGTTGCTTCATATTATGAGCTGGGACCTCCAGCCAGATTGACCTGCAGGGTCACAATCACAGGTTATCCCTAAAAAAAATCAGACAGGGTGGTTTCAGCTTCAGAATCACCCGGGTCAGTCCTCTGCAGTGTCTGTAATATACCAAGCTGATCTTCAGTTTTTTTTTAATCAGTTTATCTCTTAACTCTTTGTCTTTGTCAGAAATTGAGGCGAAAGAGGCGTGTGACTGGCTGCGGGCAGCAGGATTTCCTCAATATGCTCAGCTCTTTGAAGGTAACAAAAGCACTCACTACATTCCTACATCACAAAAGAGGGAAATGTTGGTTGGTTAAAAGATTAATGAAGTGGCACATCAGTCAAAGGGCCTTGTAATAAACAAAAAAATACATTGTTATGTAACCTTTTTATATCTGTTTTTATAAAATACACTTATTACTTGATTTTGGGCTTTTCAAGATGCTGAGTGAACAATGGTACACTGTGTCCTCTGGTCTGGCATTTTAGTCTCCGCACTGTACATTAAAACCATGCACTCATGGACTGCATAGTGAGCCCCATTTACACAACTGCCCTCAAGAAAACTTGGAGCCAGGGCTCCAGTCGGATCCCCAGACACAACAAAACGTGGAGCATCAGCTTTTAAGGTCTAATCTTTCCCAAACTACAGTTAGTACATAAACATGTCTTCTGAAGTCATACTGAAGTCAGGAATAACTGTGTTTTCATCAGAACTTAAAGTAGCTCTTCTCCCTGAGATCGTTGTGTCCAGGCCAGACTTTTGATGTGCTTTGGTGCGATATAATTGTTTGCTGAAAGTTTGTAGATAGTTGTAAAAGAACTCCAGAAATTTGCTGTGATAATGGCTGTTGCAGTGCAAAGAAGGTAGCATGAGGTTTGCTGCCAGTGCTGGGGTCATGTAATAGATAGAACATATTGATGAAATCTATTACTAGCAGATAATCATGATTCACAGCCTACTGTATATCTGAATGCCTCCCCCTTTAAAGAACAGGCTGAGGTTGTTGATCTCTGAGCGCTCACGGCTGCTTCTGCGTTTCATAAAAAGTTAACAACTTCACATGAGCGCGGTGGAATTTTTGATTCAGATGGTCTGGATTTAGTCTCTGAAGTTATGTAAGAAGAGGCCCAGCCATGAACTAGATATACTGTATAAGCCTGAGCACTGTTATTTTGTCTCTTTTCATTGGCATCACCCACAGAACAGGTCCGATGGTCTCCAGCCTTCAGCGTGTTCCTGGAAATAATGTGATTTCCAGATCTTTCTTTTCATTTATCCATGAGCATTGTGATAACTAGTGAAATATCAAATGTAATTTTGGCACTGCCACTTTGTCTTTCAGATTCCCAGTTCCCTATTGACATTACTCCTGTGAAAAGAGATCATGACTTTTTGGATAAAGATCTCGTGGAACCTCTCTGCAGGTAAACTGACATATTGTTTTAATAAATGCTTAGAAGCATGTTAGCTTCCTCCCTTCAAGATTTTGAATTACACTCAACATTAACTCCTTCAGAAGTTTTGAATGTTTTTTTCCTAATTTGCCAGAGAGTATAACAAATATACAATCAGCTACACTAAGCCAACAACTGGCGGTTCCACATCGTTCCCTTGTAGGGCAAGACGGCTCATGCATTTTTTTCAAGTGAAGTGAAAACGGCACTTCAGTTACCACAGTAACTATGGCAACTATTTTGAGAGGGAAGCAGGCGGAGCATGGTGGGCGCCTCGCACTGCTCAGTATACTGCGACTGTAAACGGCCCTAAAGCAACTCATCTAAATTCCAAACTGGCTAAATAGAAGACAACTGGAAACATTTCCACCTCCAAAGCGATTTTGCCTATGACTTCCCAGAATTTCTATGATAACATAAAGATGGCTTTGTTGTCAGTTACATCATGACAGTCTTGTGGGCAAAAATAAATGCCATGCTACAGAGTGTGGGTGTCTTTGATAGAACTGAAAGTGATAGATATTTCATGTATGTGAGGGCCCTTTCTGATCTCTGGTAAGCACCCTTCTATTTTAGCAAGTACATTCAAAGCTCTTTAGGCTTGTGGAATAAAGAGTCCCCAATTTAGTAATCTTCTCTTCAATTGGGTCCCACTATCTACAGTAACGATCATGGGAATTTCTTGTTTGGCTAACGTCTATCAGTGCTACAGGACGAGTATAGCCTCCATCTGAGATCATTTACACTTACAGAACAATACAGTGAATCTGTTAAAAAGACAGTTAGCAATATCTGCAGCTGTTAAAGCCTGGGATTAACTTACCACAAATGAGTTTACTTGTGTCTAAAGCCAAAGTACAGTGGGCAAGAGTGTATTTTCTTATGGCATCCTCTTTTCCCTCTTGCTATTGTTGGTTCATGTACAGATTTTAGTGCTGTTACTTTACTGCATCCCAGGTTGCACACCCACAAAACCTCTAATCATTAAGCACATACTTCAAGGTAGACCATATTGTGTATTTCAGATATTGAAAATATTCTGTAGAGTTTTGTTGAACTGAGATTAGTAAATATGCATTAGTAAACCAGGAGCAAAAACTTGCATAAAGACCATTAGACACAACTGAAGCATCTCTCAAAATCATGTCTTAACCTACAGATGACTAAACAGGATGAACCGGGCCTTAAGTAGAACCAGTATGTGGCAAATCCATTCTCTGACCTTAAATGCACCTTCAGACTCTTCTGTTTTCAACACATCACCCAACCTTGAGAGAAAGAGAACAGATTTGTTAGATTTACAGACAAACTGAATTTCCCTCTGGGTCTGGTTGTGCATCCAGAATAGTAGCTGGTTAACAATTAAATAGCAAACAGAAAGGGATTTATTTCTGGAGTGCTCATTTGAAGACAACTCTGCTGTTTTCCCTTGTTTGTTCAGAACAGTTTTCATTCTCATGCATTTTCCTTACAGGCGACTCAACACCTTGAACAAGTGTGCCTCTATGAAACTTGAAGTGAACCTCCCGAAGAAGAAAGTAAGCGTTCACTCAAGATTACTACATTTTTTAACAAAGTAATGCTTCTGCAGTCTTTTAGGGTGGATTATTGCATGAAAAGGGCAACACTGTGACAAGTGTGGCACTACTCCATTATCCACTATGCATATTCCACTACTGCATTTTGCCCAAACTAAAAGAAAAACTATAAGCACTGATGATTTAGGAGTTAATTTTTTTTAAGACAAGAGCATAGGCCTAAGTAAGTGTCATGCTTTCTCTCTGTGCAGACTATAGATCTTTTAACAATATAACTACAATATAATATAACACATAAATACAGTATGTGTGTATTTGTTGGGGTTTGTTTTGGGTTTTCTTTACCCATGAAAAAAACCTCATTCTGTAACTATGACCATTTACATTAGAATTTTGTAAATAGAATAAAATAAAAATCAAGGAATGCTAAGATTGCCTTAAGTTATGCATGTGCTTCCTGTGCCAAAACAATTATAATCTGACTTCATTCAGGTTTTTTGACATTTGAGATCTCACCATTGTTTCATACATGTCAATTGCCTATTGAATTTTCCTATTTAACTGTTCTTTGTAGCATAGATGATGCGTGTGTGTTTTTTTGTTTTTATTGAATTGTGTTCATTATTTTTAAGGAGACCTATCTGTCTTTCCCCAGAGTGAAGACTCTGATGAAGAAGACCTGTTTGCTATCAGTGACAAATGGACTTTTGAGAGGAACAGCCGGCGTTGGTCCAGGTTACAGAACATTGACTCTCTGCAGGGAAACCACAGAGAGGATCAACCCTCCAGGAACAGCGTGCCTCTGAGAGCCACCACAAGCAGTGAGAGTTTTCTGACAGACCTGAGCGAGCCAGAGATCTCTTCTTTGCACAGTGAGAGCAGTGGGGGTAGTGGCCATAGGGGCCTCAGCACAGAGGACTCTGACTGCTCCAACCGCACGTGCTCAGATTCTGCAGTGATGCCAGACTGTACTTCTCTCACAATGCCTCAAATCCCCAAAGAAATTGCTCACTATGCCTCGCTACCTGATAAGCATGGCAAAACAAGCCGCACCCGTGCCAAAGACTTCCTTAGAGGCATGGAGACACTACGCTCCCGAGGAACTCTGCAAAGGGGTCATAAGACTTTGGTCATCAGCTCTCCAGTGCTCCAGCAGGAGGCACAGGCACTAAAGACACTGCAGTGTGTTGAAATTATAAATGGAGATGGTGGAGCTACAGAGCCGTCTAACAAAGCTCTGCTGTCCCAGTCCAGTAGTGAGGGTAACAGTCATTCTAGTGGCAGCACTGTCAGCACACCCAGCCTGAAGGAGCATAAGCCTCATCGGACTGACAACAAGCGCAGTGGCATGTATTTGGAGGACATAAATATCTTCTCAGACACTCAAATGAATAAAGTTGTAGAACAAAATCACAAGAATGAATTCTTCTCCTATGAAGACCTGGTAGTCCACATCCCCAAAGACCACAAGCCAGGAACCTTCCCCAAAGCACTCTCCATAGAGAGCCTATCCCCAACCAATGGGGCCTGTATTAACTGGCACATCGGCAGCATGCACCTGGATTCCTCTCTAATTTCACACAGAAGGGATTCCAGACCTGTCACCCAGTGCTGCTCCAGAGGTAGCCGCATCAGTGTGTATGATAACGTTCCTGGCTCACATCTGTACGCCAGCACTGGAGACCTAATAGACCTGGAAAAAGAGGATCTCTTTCCTCAATTGGATGATATCTTGCTGCATGTTAACGGTCTGCAGCAGATAGTGGACCACTGGTCAAAGAATGTGTTGCCTGGTGGGGATGGGCTAGTGCAGGTTGATGATGACAGGGAAGATACAGTCGGCCTCCAGAACTCTAGTGAAATTACATTGGACTTTGAAGGAAATTCTGTCGCAGAAAGCCAAACCACACCTAGTGAGGCGGACAGAGACAGAGTATCGCTTATTGAGAAAGAATCTACAAGGCTCTGGGAAAGGAGGGACTCAGGAGTAGGTGCTTCACTCACAAGACCTAATAGGTAAGACTCATAGTACTGTATTGAAAGTACTGAAATATTTGCAATTACACGCATTTAAATTGTCTATGAACAGAAAGAGCAAAGCTTTTCTTTTTTTTTCTTTGCTGTTTTATCTTTTATGGCATTAGGTTACGCTGGCCCAGTTTTCAAATATCTAATCGCCTAAGTCACTCAGTGGCATCCCTGCAGATTACCAACCAGTCAGCAGGCCAGCTGAGTTTGTTGCAGAGGTTTTCTCTGCTGCGCCTTACTGCAATCATGGAGAAGTACTCCATGTCCAGCAAACATGGCTGGACTTGGTAAGTCGCACCTAACCATTTAAGGTTTGCTCAAATTATTATATTAGTACTGATAATTTGTGTTTGTTCAGTACGGCATGATTAGGCCTTAATGAAATACTGTAACACGATTACCTTTTGGTTTATAAGATGTCAGTACTTACTTTCATGTTAAGTAAATGTGTATGTACTCTATGGTTCTTGTTACTGTGGAGCAAGTTGTCAAAAATGCTGTGTTGATGTATCCCCTAGGTCTGTGCCAAAGTTTATGAAGAGAATGAAGGTACCAGACTATAAAGATAAGAATGTGTTCAGCGTGCCTCTCATAGTCCATGTACAGCGTTCTGGACAACCCCTGCCCCTCGGCCTGCAGCAGGCTCTGCGGTATCTCAGGAGCCAGTGTCTTGACCAGGTAGGCTACAGTACACATACTCTCAGGTTGCATGTGACATCTTCACATGCAATGTAAAGACTGACTGGGTTTATGTATTATATATTTATGTGACATGCTGTAAGGTTACAGTGCACAGTGTCTGACCAGTATTCTAGACTGACAGAGTAGTAGTATGATATGAGATATGATCATGATACAGTCAGATGCTGTCAGCTCTCACGCTAACATTAACACTCTAGTTTTGGTTCCAGGTGGGTCTCTTTCGTAAGTCAGGGGTGAAGTCTCGAATTCAAGCTCTGCGGCAAATGAATGAGAATTCTCCAGACAATGTGAACTATGAGGATCAATCTGCTTATGATGTGGCTGACATGGTGAAGCAGTTCTTCAGGGATTTACCTGAGCCTCTGCTGACCAGCAAGCTGGGGGAGACCTTCCTTCATATCTACCAATGTAAGGACATACACGTAAATCTCTCTTTGCTTGTCAGGTATTCATTTTGTTGTCTCTTTTTTTTTTTTTTAATTTTGTACATGTGGCTGTATGATGATGTAATTTCATGTGAAGTAAATGACTCTTCTATGACTTTGATTTGATTTTTGATTTGATTTATTCTTTCAAGCATGTAAAGACAGTTGATATGTCAACACACATAATTTCACACATATCCAACAATAATAATCCCATATCAATTTGCTTATACCTAGTACATGTTTGAATGGAGTAGGAAGAAGTCAGACTTATCCAGTCCTACCCCATGACATCATCTTACCATCATTGGTTTGCAAGCAGTATCTCTACATAGATAATTCTCTTCAACACCACACAAGTAATATACTAAAAAATTATTACAAAGTGTTAACATTCATACACCACACCCACAATGTTCCATCTAATTAATCATTAAGCCTGTTCTTGCATATATCTTGATTGACACATACCTTTATATTTATGTTTAAACTCGTCAATTCTATTACTATTTTTTATGTCCACACTTAAATTATTCCATAGTTTTACCCCACTTATGGAAATACAAAATCTTTTTTTGGTTGTACGTATAGCATGAATTTTTAAATTTAACTGACCCCTTAAATTGTATCCCCCTTCCCTTTCATTAAATAGTTTTTGAATTCCACCAGGTAATAAATTGCTCCTGGCTTTATACATAAACACTGCAGTCTTATATCCAACTAAATCAAAAAAGTTTAACAATTTAGACTGTATGAAAGCT